TTTATTCTAACTGGAAAGGCAGGGTCTTCATGAAATAACAAATTAGACTTTTGTATCCTATGAAAATCTGTTGTTCCAGCCAAAATGAGGAAATCTGATTGGTTATTTCGATAGCTGGTAGGGTGGTCTTTAAGGTCACTCCTTTATTCACCTACAAGGCGATCCATAACATCTGTTTTAGCTAGTGTAGTTAATCTATCACAAGTAAACGTTAGCCACTAGGAATAAGTCATCATATCTGCTAAAATGGTAATAATTTGTTTCTAAAAGTCAAATGCCAGTAGACCCGGGTACTTGCTTGTGATTAAGTTCCCAATGATGCCTCTGGATTCCTCAAAATATGATCATCTAAAGTAAAAAAAGCATAGGCCTTTGACCAGAGAAGATGAAACCCTTAAACTAGACAACTAGTCTATCTCCGTTTATTTATTTGAGAGTCACTAGACGCATCTATAGGTCACGAAGTTACATGGAGAGTAAGAAAACGATGGAGGCATAACAACAGATGAATTCATCTTGTCTCGCAAATACCCTTCAACTGCTTGCATAGGATCTTACTGTCAGTGCTAAATCTGCGGCCCGCCGACAGAAACAGGTTTTTTTAACTACTAGGTAATCAATTCGAACACCACTCAACCCAGAGGAGGTTCGGGTAGACAGGTAGTAAAATCACAACTTGCACAATAGGTTTAAATCATTGCTAAGTACATGGGCATGTACTTGGTTGCTCACAAACCTAAAATATGTGTTCACCGCAATCATATAACTCATTTGAATCATGAAGATTTTGCGACTGAAGAACTCAGAAATGTATTGTCGGTGTCGACAAAGGTGGGTAGGGTAATCTGCCAGAGCACCTACTAAATAATGCTCTTCGAGACTTTAATACACATACATCAATGAGCCTCTATGCACGTAGCACCACAGGTACAAGCAAATTCATAACCATTGTTGATAATCCAAAGGCCACCGGTTCAAATCCTAATCCACTAATCATCGCTAAATATCAAACCGATAGCCATATTTGGATGTAACATCATCATTTAAATTCCTTGAAAACTTGATGTTCTCTATCACAGTAAACGGTTCTTAGAACATCCTTATGATACTGCTGTCAAGTTCGTGTTCGGACAAAAAGGCATGACGTTCAAGATGTATAGAAATTTCAGTATTGTTCTCTAACAATAATTAGCTCAGGTATTTCATCCACTTTATACAGGCTAATAAATTTCAGCTAATTTTTCCTGTCAGAATTACTGTTTTCGATTCAGAAATGAGGCATGGATATTCATTAAATACAAATGGATAATTATCTCATCAGTAACCACTTACATTGAACTGGATAGGAGTTATGATAATATAAATACAATGCTATCAATGTATATTTCTTGTACGTAGATAGTTTTAGTGACCTGTCCTTAGTCTAACCAAATAGTGCGCTCTGAGAAATCCAGTCAGGCTTTTTTATATGGAAAAGAAGTGTATTCGTCTGTATAATCGACTTCCAATCAGAATTTGAATCCCGCTCCACCTACTGAGGTCTAGGTAGCCAGGAAGTATCAGTAGCCGTCATGCAATGAGTGCGGTTCATCTTCTACTGCATAAACGTGCAAGTGCTTGCTGAGTGCATTCCAAAACAGATTTCCACACACTTTAAAAAGATGCTCATATGTATTTGATTCATAAATGACACAGTGCATTCTGAATTGTGATATAAGTAAGAAGAACATCATCAACACATATTCTACAAAAATAGGCTTGTACACCCATACCTCCAAGTTGGTATCTCAACGTGTGATATGTATCTACATACCGAAATCCTCAAAAAACCCTGCACAGTTGCTTTGTTAAAAAAAATGCCTGCTCGTTTATGACTAAATCTACTAAACTAAATTCATAAACTTCATCGAGTAAATCATATTAAACTACTCGATAACCTAGTTAGAACCCGGAGCTTCGTTTTTAGCTTAGGAATACGGTATTTAGATTAATGACTTGGGGATTTTGCAAGGTGTTGAAAGGCCTTAGATGAAGGTAGGCCAAAGAGGTACAATAAACTGATCAAAAAAGTGACATGCACTGAAGTACTGATCGGAAATTTCTGGTCGACCATCGGGATACTGTACACCGAACTGTTACCATACTTCATAGGTCAGAAAGGAAAGGGTTTCTCGCTGTTTCTTTCTATTCACAAATGTCGGCACAACGATAACAACTGAAGCAGAACAACATGAACCCATTTACTTCGTGAATTATTTTCGCCAACTTTTTTTTTCCATCGAGTTAACAGGAAATTAATGATCGAAATGTAAGACGATGCAAATGGAAAATAACTACAATCTCTATTTTACCGAAAAAACAGATGCATTGACTAGCCAATAGTCCATAAGTTCTTAATGTCAACTTCGTCGATATGCTTTAAAGCATCACTGTGTCGCCAATGATGCTCAAAATGAGAACACTTATGATGACCGACTGACAAAATCAACGTAGCACGCAGGTGCATCGCCTCAAGTCTCCACACTTCACATCACACGAAGAACGGGTGGATAGAAAAGCAGTGATAACAGAGAAGATAAAGTAGTGCTAGAGAATAAACAGTCTGAAGATAAAAGTTAGTGGAGATATTCAAGCTTTCGAAGACGTCAAGGAACGAATACATATGCACCACATTGTAACCGATTTTTAGCCATGTCACCAAGAGTTAGCCCTCAACCACTGATTCCTTTTGTCTCCGAAACCTCGACCCAGCAGTCTACCTATGATGGCTAACATTGCTGTATCAAGCTGAGAAGTTCAACCTAGACAACTTGGAGGAGAAATGGGGTACACAGATTTCAATGAATATAAATTGTAAAAGATTTTATCCAAATTCACCATTACTAACTGAAATAAAATGAGGACATACGCATATCGAATACAGTCAGTTGGCATTCTATGTTGATACAATAGATTTGAATCTAATGATTTGACTGGTTAATTTTGATTTATAAAGTGATAGCTTACAGCACATTTATGTGATTTCTTAGCGTCAGCAAACGGACCATTCCTGACCAATCAAATAAGAGTAAATGCCAACCACACAGTAAAAACACTGAACTAATCAATAAAATTAGAATATGAATTAGAAAAAGCCTGAAAAAGGAGCATCAGATAATTAGATTTTAAAGAAACTAGCTTTTATCCAGTTTGAACAATGGAACAAAACACTATGTTCGGTTATCGAATTCCTCATGGAGACAGTAGTGGATAATATTAGGTCTATCATTCTTTCAATGACAAAACCAGATATCTGGATCCAATGCTGATGACACATTAATTATCACAATAAAAACGGCTTACAACCTGAACAGTGGCATTCTTGAGAATTTTAACTTTATGAAATAAGAAAAATCTGACAGTAGATTTCTACCGCTACTCAGTGGTAAGGTAAAGGTTGACAGTTAAAAATACATTCACAGGAACTCAGTACATATAGACCAAATCCTAAACAAGTCAAAGTAACACTAAATGAGCGACATAATAACCATATTTATAGTTTCGACTACCTGAACGAGTATAATGAGCTGCAGTTCATTCTGTCCTATAATACAGTTGAGAGACGTGGATACTGAAAACAGATTATGTGAACACGTTACGAAATTTTAAACATAGATGTCTTTGTAGTATTCCTCACAAATGGTAAGATCACCATGTGAGCAATGTCGAGGTCTGGCGATAAGTACTACGTAAGGAAGGCAAATCAGTCAATGAAGTTGCGGACGTTCATGAACGTGTATTGTGCATACTGACTAACTGCTTACGTCAACATAAAATGTTAGTAGGAGGAGGATTTGACTGGAAGAAAGCTCATTTGGTGGCCAGGCTAAGACGTCGCACCAGTTTAAGAAGCCTCTGACCCCTAGTCTGAGCTATGCAAGGAGATGAAAATTCACTGGCTGTGGTTCTCAAGATAATTGGAATCAATGATTGCAAACCATTGATGACATGGCTGAAAATCAGTCACAACTCAAATGGAATTACTTTCTGACATTTAGATTTCGAGCATTTTCAATAACTCAATTTTCATAATTTTCCCTTCTCCCATACACTTTTGTATATATTGCGAATTGTTATCCTGTGAAGTGTAAAGTTGAACAAAAGTACTCCTGTGCGAGGGTCCACGTTGAATTTCTTTTGTTTGTTTATATTCACAAAAACAACCAGCTGTCGCAATACACCTAGTGTATGAAGGGTTCAAGACACTGACTGAAATACTTTTATCGGGAAGTTCATTGAATCCCTCGTAAACTGAAAAAGTAATGGGACCACACTGTAAGCCTCTTGAAATCAATATCCCTTAGAAACCACCAGACTTCCTAAACTTTGTGTTATGTACACCCAATATTACAATCATCAAAGATGGTCGGAAAAAATGTATAATATAAAATGGAACCTAAACTGAAAACCAGATGACATCAGAAAAAGTGGTAACTTTTCCACTTTATAACCTATATAAACACTGATTAGTAATTAAACAATAAACATCGTCGTCCGTTATGTCAATAAACATGAACTACTAACGAAATAAATTAGATTCGTCAAGTACGAAAATCATGAATTGCTCAAGTTCTAAGAGGACTAGAGAACTAAAAAAAATTAGCAATCAGATTACCTGATAATCAATAAACATACACGAAAAGTTAGTTAACCTGTACTGGATACTTGAGGTGCCTAACTCTTCACCATAAATGCACCTTGTCAACCCTTCTGATGTGACAATAAACATCAATCAAGCATTTCACAGTTTACACCTTCTCCTGTCGTCACAGCATACTTTTGTGAAGTACAACAGAGTTATCTGTCAGCACTTACGGAAGCATTTTGAAAATAATAATGATTTTCGCTAACTATTAGTGTTATCTTAAGTCTAAAGACATGTGGGTTGGTAGGAAGAAATTCGTAAAGAAAACGTTTCTTTACAAGTAAAATCTGCGAAACGTACACACTGATTTTTAAAATTAGTTTATATAAATATTCCCAAAGGGAGCGATAAACACTTGGAAAAACACGTATTGAATTTCACCGCAAACACTGTTCCCCGCATCAGTAGAACAGCACTTCTCCTTAGGAATGAACGGCAACTCATGCGTATCACAAACACTATTTGACTGTTCGCCATTTTCATCACTATTAATATTGCTTCCGTTCAGCATTCCAGAGAAGGTTGAATTATTTGACTGTTTACTGTATGAGGTTAAAATACGCAATGCCAGTTTCTAAAAGAGAAAAAAACATTTTGCGGTGAAAATCTGATAGCATGTAGCTAAAACAAAAAACACCTGACACCACTTACATAAATATCTTACGAAAAGAATCAAATGCAATCCAATAGGACAGGAAAAAAAACATGAGAAAACGTCGTACTTTAAATATCAGGTTCAATACAATGACGTTGAAGAAACTTATGCTAGTCGAAAGTTACCGTATTCACATGACGATACCATGCTGACCTAGTCAAACTATCCTGATGGCTTTATTTGTCCCTTAAACAACAGACTAGTCAATTAAGGAGCATTAAGTCGAAAACAATGACTACACACGAGGGACTAATCACATTACGATTAACATCTGAGTAAAATTGGTTGTATTGAAACGTAAGAGCCACGGATCTCGACACCGCTGTTTGTATACTGCGGAAAGGAAGAGTGAGAAACTGTTCGCACCTAAAGAGCTGTATACCTCACTTTTATCGAACGCAAACCAAAACTCCTAAGGTAGTTGCGTAGAATTTTCCACCAATAAAAATGACGTGAGTAATGCGGTCATGTTAGTCAAACAGACTACCAAGCCAAATGTATATCCTCTTTGATGTACTGGAAGACGAAGAAGTTTACTACGAACTACTGGTAGATCATCCACAATCAGCAGTACAGTAAACCCAGTTACACCTAATAATGAGAATGAGCAAACAATATACTCAAATCTGAATATACATTAAAGTGTATTCAATTGTGTATGGTTGTAGAACTGTGGCTTACTGGTCTAAGTGGTTGACTTTTAAACAAGGGATCATGGTTTCCGACTCCACCCCATTAACTGACCTTCATGCGGCAAGAAACTGGTATTAATCCTCACAAATATCGCTCACTGCCTTATATGCAAACCTAAATGTGATTGATGAGCTACAGATATGATGTCCACTCAGCTGCACCATTGAATGGACATCAACACACAGGTCCTTGCTACCTCATACAAACACCGTAGAACTATGCATGAGTCAACTACCTACTACAACAGTCCAAGTTAAACGATCTAGCAAGAAATAGATGGAAACTGATACGAAAACACATTGATTGTAGACTACAACTACACCAAGTTTTATGCTATATTCTCCAAGAGTGACCGGTCAATTCGGTTCAGTATACTAATAATCTACGGGAAACTACACGCATCAATAAATAACACGAGTAGAGTAAGGATGTAGCAACAGAAACACTGCATTTCATCTCTCTGGCTGATAATAGCTAAAAACAAAGAGTTTCATATCACAGAAGATCATAGTGCTTTACGTATGGGAATGATAATATTTAGTCATTGAATTTAGTTTATTGTGATATCAGTTAGATGTTCAACAGCACATCAGGTACGTAGTTGTCAAGTCCCCACAGCCATCAATTATGACAAGTAAAACATATGAGGGTGAAGCATTGGTGTAAGTAAAGTGATGACTCAGGATGAGTGTCGGATATCTGTAGCATAATAAGAAAGCAAAATGAAAACTAGGAAGTTATGAACGTTTTTTAGACATTGAAAATCTATTTTCGACGAAAAATAAGCAAGTTTTACTGACAAAATTTTGAAAGCATATAACTCTAAAACCAGACACTTCATAGTCTGATGTTAAATCTTTGCTTGATCTCTCTTTATCGCAACTCAAACTTCTATCGCCTAAAGTAACAAGATAAAAACCGTCAACAGATATTAACAGTGATGTTGCTATATGTTATTCGCGTAGTATTAGCTTCCAAACTATCAAGTTTAGTGACCTATCAGTAAATGGCATAAATAAGTAAATACCAAAACTGTATTCGATATTAGCAGTATAAAATTTTGCGCAGAGGACTAAGTAGCCTAGAATCCAAGTGAAGGATTGAAATTTTACTCCATATACTTATGTTTAAACGGGCAGACAGTATCATTCACCCTTCAAGTACCAAGTCAAAAACTGCAGAAGTTAACTGAATTCTGTTACAAAATATTAAACACGTAAGTATAGTTCGTCAAACTCCATGATTAACAAATTTTAACCGGTTAAAGGCGATTTTAGCTTACTTGACATGCACCAATTTGCGTCCGAGTAAGCGAATTATCAACCCAAGTTAGAGAAGTGTCAACTCCCTTTTGCTAAAGAGAAACAAATATATGCATAATTTCATGTAAATAAGTATTACTTAGTGCCGATATTCTGAGAAACAGCCCAATCTTGTGAAACAAAGCGCACGGAACATTATAAATAGATACCATGGATAACACATGTCGACCGAACTGTTTTAATATATATTTTAGCATCGACTAAATAATAAGATAACAGCAGCATTCCGTACAAAGATACAGTGTGTACTGCTGTTCAGTTATTCTGTGAACTTTTATTCACTTAGCTAACTAGTAACGATATTCTTCAGTTATTAACTCGTCATTAATAGAAGTCGATTTTCCTGCAATCAGACAGATTGAAAAAACAATTTTAAGAAGTAAAAGCCATGCTCAAGGCAACTCTTTAGACAAATGCAACATCACTGGTTCTAACCCACGAAAAACTCACTTAACAGATAGCAATGAGAGAATACCAATTGTTGTTTAAATTCATCCACTTTAGAAACAACTATGCTTAATAGCTGTCAACTAAGTAACAGAGTAGACTGTTGTGTGATGCACTCTTTTCGATACAGTTGGATATCTCACCAGTGCTATTAATGTTATATGTTGGATATTCTCAATCAAACTTGAATTTATTCGAGCAATTTTTAAATAGTACGACGCAGACGAAGGTAGGGGAAAATTTCACTTCTCTTTGCAGTCAACTGCTCATATTATTTCGTTTTCGTGTGGTACACAACCTGTTGCAACCGTTTACTCGATGTATGTTCAAAGCACTAGCTTCTTCAATCTGGGAGGAAACAAAACCCTGCCAATAGTAATCAACTATTAAATGTCTCGAAACAATGATCCCAGAGATTATGACAACTTGCTTAGTTCAGCATGGCAGAAGATTGTAATACTGCAGCTCCTCAAAATGAGGACTTAAATTTCAAAAAGTGGGTGGCATGCAGGTACAATACCTACTTCACCTACTCTTAATTTACGATAACCAAGAAAAGTCTTTAAACAAGTAGATTTGGTGACCTGGTGCATGAACTGATTTCCAGTATTATGATTATCATTATTATCATTATCCCGAAAGTCTGGAAATAGTGAACATCAACAAATATGAGGTACACACTTCAATAAGGTGCATATAAAAGCCTTTTTACGTCTAACTTTGGCAATGCTGACATGCTTGAAGTCATTCTAAGGTAACTTTGATAACTGACAGCTATGGCTCATACTTGAATTGGTCTTGGCTGTTTTGGATAGCCAATATTATAAAAGGCAACACGACACAAAAGACGTTTGCAACTGAAGCTCAACCAAAAGTTGGATTCAAAGTTTCTAACTCAATCCTAAAGAAAATGTTCTCCTAACTGATCAATAGTAAACTTCGAGAATTAATTTCTTGTCAATTAATTAAAGTGATGCACACCAATATTAACACATGGTTTAAGTTGACAGACATTCAGACAATAACGACTATAAGAATCTAATCTAACAGTTTACCTATAAAATGTCCTGAAAATCATCCGTTTTTAAGTTTAGTTCAATAAAGTCTAAGTGTGTTCTCTTAGAGTTTTAAAGCACAAGGAGTAGACTGGTCTATTCACTTCTTAATAAGTATCACTTAGTTATATGATGTCGAGGTAGAAGAAAACCTTGAAGTTTGAAGCAAATTCCGAACTTACAAACCTAAATAATTAATGAAAGAACAAACCGAAAATATAACGCATAAATTAGCACAGCGCTTATGAGTAATAGATCAGCCGGAGCCCATACTGTTTAAAGATGTTAATTTATAAACATCATTTACAACTTACTAGGGGAATATTGACAAGCTCAGCATAAAGCAATGCTATTTTGGAAAACCAAGCAGGATGAAATGTTTTGCTAACCAACTCCTTGATTTCAGCATCATTCCATAAAGATGATAAATCAGCCCATATCTGAGATTGTGTAGACAAACTTTTGCGAATAACAACAGAAGAATCACAGTCGACAAAACATGGTGGGACAGCTAGGAGAAGGCGTTTTAATAATTCAATTCGTTCTGTGTAAAACACAATTAGACAGAATTCATATAACAAATGTATGACATCAAAAAGATATGAATTAGTAACCACTTGCACTTCATACACTTGGCTGAATCAAACTGTGAATGCTCAGACTACATTTTTACAGGGCGATAATATGCAGCAGAAATAATTTGGCTAGAGTATCACAGAATAACCAATTAGAACTTACATATGACACAAATTCACGGATATACTTTTCTTACTTACGCTTTAAGTTCTTTGTACAACTAAGAAATATATCTTGAATGTCAAACAACAAGAACTAGTCCCACTACATGTGACTGACAAATGTTTAACGCTAAATGTGTTTTTCCAATAATATAATAAATTCGAGATATAAACATATAGATAGGCCAATACTGACTGTCACTAAAAGGCTTAAAATGTCTCCAAGTTACCAAGTGCCGACAGCTAGATTAAGACTGGTACTCGGACATCTACCATTTATTAGCACAAAAGCCCCCTAAATTAGAGAGATTATTTAGCATTTGTGAAAACGAAAAGGACTGCAATTAAATTTCTGTTCCTTCCAGATTAATAGCCAATACTTTGGTGCACGGATCAAAATTGTTTGGTAGCATAACAACGTTGAAAGGATATTCCGTTTATAATGCGAAAGTATGCGGAAAAATTAGGATGTTAAAAGCTAAAGCGATCTATGTTGATGAATCGACTCAGTCACTAATTCACACTTTGAATGTAGTTTTCTTAGCCGTAAAAGCAAACAAAACAACAACAACGTTTGGTCTCATAGGGCCCCCTGGAGGGCATGTGGCTGACTTGAAATATCCAGACGACATTGTCATTATGTGAAGACGCTGACTAAATGCCGATCCTACTGAACAACTTGAGAGGAATCCGTGTGTTTGGCATGCATTTCGCACGTGTCGTTAAATGTAAGACGGTGCTTCAGGAGTGGTCAGCTGCAAGTACTCCCAGTTTAAGGACAAGGAGTGAAGTTGCATCAACCCGAACAGGTCCCAATACAAAATGCACGTTTGGCATTTGCCAACTTGTGTCATCCCTGGTACCGACTGGAAAGATATCCGACTACTTATCAAAGGACGAGAAAACTGCGCAGCAGCAACTCAGTCAATGAGGCTTTGAATCTTCACCGACTCAGGTGGTATAACATATGGTGCGCATGCCAAGACACCGCTTACCTCGATGAGCAAGGTTAGTCGGAAGATTCGTTTGGAAGAAGGATAACAGTGGACAGACCAAGAAATGGTACAAATATATGAAGTCTCTGATTCTTGGTCTGAACTATGTAAGGAGATGCAAACTCCCTGACATGATAAGAATTAATGGTTGGAAACCCTTGGTGACATCGTTGAATATGGGTCACAATAATCCAAATGTAATCACTCTTTGACATTTTCAATAACTGGTTTTTTGAATTCTTTATCCTCCCATGGACTTTTTTCTACGTTGCTATTACTCATTTTACACCTACATGTTCATTGCATGCTACTATGAAGTGCAACAACTTGAATCGATGCACTTTCTGCGACCGGTTCTACGTTGATTTTGTCCGTCTATCTGGATCAGGTTGATTACAGCCTTACCAACGTCCTCAACATTTAAAAGTTGCATATCAATATTCCCTTCTCAATTAGGTTGGAAAACTGGCAACAGAAGAATTCCTAATAAACTGTGTCTTGAAAAGTTTCAGCAATCGTTCCGGTCGTCTCCCCAGCAAGTGAATAACAGATTAATATTTTTCACTAACTACCGACTTTTTACCCCAGCTTTCTAGACAACTTTTACTGTCGCCTTTCGTTGCTGTTCACCATTACTGACAGTGACTACGCACATTATGTCAGCCTACATTTGAGTTGCTTCCGCCTCCGATTCTGTCCGAAGCTTGTAGGAATAAGTTCACGAGTATCCATATATATATATATATATATATATATATATATATATATATATATATATATATATATATATATATATATAGGTCGGATAGAGTTCAGAATAGCTTAATTGAAGATCTGAAGTAATTACACGGATACTACAACATTTAGAAACCTGATTATGCAGAACATCGTGATATATTCATATGGAGTTGTTTCAAGGATTTATCACCAAATGATTATTTATTGGACCACTAATGAATCTTGCTTGTATAAAAGTAACATATTCTCGACTGATTCGAGTCGGAAATATGTGCTATAAAATGACGATGATGTACAATTAGGTATCCATAAAATCATATGAAAATAGACGTACAGAATACGACTAAGGTATGACAAATTTATTCGACCATATACGAAATATAATCCCCAATCTACATGCCACTATTTGTAACAGGAGATATCCGCTTATAATCGCAATCTTACACCACACAGCAATAAAGCAATACTGTACCTTGTTTTGTTCCATATGAAGGATAAGAGAAACGAAGTACCAAATGTCCAATGTAATCTTCGTAACTAGTTGACAGCAGACACTATCTATAATTATTGAATATTAAGTATTCTTACATGCTGCTTAAGGAAACAAAGAAGTTTTGTTTATTGTTTACCTTCACACAGCATCGTACAATAGCTTCAGCAATAATTCTCTTAGGAAACCCATCACAGGTACAAACACTTCCTGACCAACATAAACACAAATCAAATGAAACAAACCCCATAATTTAAGCAAACCATCAAAACAATTATCGTACTGTTTAAATAAATACAGCCAATCGCACGAAGCCTTTAAAGAATCCTCATCATTGGCACGCAGAAAACCCTGTAAATATGTCAGTTTCAAATATAAAAGGTTGACTGACTAGGTCTCCAACTACGTTTGGATGAAACGCAGAACGCAGTGAGGATTTTTCACTTGTTTCACGTTCGAAGAGGCTATCGTCAAAAGTTAGGGAACCATCCATCTAAAAATCAGTTGATAATTTCTATTTTGAGCAACAGCCTACTGAGAATTCCTTGGGCTCTATCCCCGTATTTTTAAAATATAATCATCAGTGTGAAAAAGTTTGAACAGGCTGTTACAAGAATATAAGGGGATATTAGAAACAGCCAGGCTCCGCTGTGGTTGGTTTTTCAATTACGCTTAAAGATCTTCTGATATTTGTGCTGGAAAAATACGAAACTTAGTTTCGAATGGTCTGCATTTACTATGTGGAAAATAAATCTTGTATGTAAAGATCAATGTTCTTGCCCGTGTCTGACTATGTACCTAAAACAACTAAACTGATCATTTACAATAAGTCACACTTCTATTACTAGTGATACTTCAGGGTCTTCATGGTAGTTTGAGCTACATGACTGATTACACATATATATTTCTCCAACTGCTTTGCTCGCAATATTGCATCTACCGACTGCCCATAGCTTCAACATTCTTTCTACTCAGGTGTGAACAAATCCCTAACTACTCGCTGACAAATCCCACAAATGGCCAGTTATTCACGGAAGAGAAACTGATGCACATGAATTTTTAAACAGCTCAGAAAATGCGTCTACCGGCGTACTCAGAGAATGAAAAATGTGTATCCGATACCCATATCACAGTACAACAAAGACGTTGGTGAGAAAAATATGGATTTCTAATTCTAACTTAAGCATAACTTTCCAAAATGACATCGACCAAGAGAAGTTCAGGAATAATAAGCTAGTTACACAGATTGTTTTAACCAGTTATAAAATGTTTCTGAAAACACCACTATCCGCAAGTCGAACGCGCCGATAAAATGCAGTTATCTGAACCCACTTGCATAAAAATATTACAATGTACGACATGTCATTCACACACTTTCACATTCAAAATGGAATTTTTTAGACACAAACTTCACGCAGCATGAAAATTAAGAAATGCTTTACGCTGAGGCCTAGTTTATTGATCAATGAGTCAAGTGGTTGACTTCCTCTACCACTCCACTCCCCCAGTCACAATAACTCTTATAACAACGCACTCACAGGATAAACGAAAAGATACCGACAGCTGGTCGATACATTTTTGGTGTCGAAGACAGGATCTGGCTTGCTTACGACCAGACCCACATGTACTCAACACCAACCATCTCGAATGTAACACCATCAGCATCACACACTTCTACCATACCCAGGTACATAAGGCACCGGGACAAGCCTTCTTAATCAGAGGGAGCAGTATAACGCTTTCGAAACCTTACTCAAACACTGTCTAGTTCTGATTTTCAGACTGCCTTGTCTTCTCATTGTGAATTATCACCGTTTGTTGACTGTCGTTCATCACTAAATATCAGTACATTCTGTGCTTGCTAAGTCGCCGGTTTACTTTCTTCTCTCATCTCCTTTGTCGCCATTGTTTGTATTTTTATTCCCCGCGTCAAAATGATAGCTTTCTCTTTTCATTCACCGCTGATAAAGTTACTACTCATCATCCTTCTTCATGAACTAAGTAAAGCGTAGCAACTTGGAACAACATATCGGTTGCTTTCTGCGTTTAGTGTCTGTGACCCAAAGTACACTAGGACGGATATAGTACACAGCTACCCAAATAAACCTCAGGCCTTAAACCGCCATAATAAGATCACAATCCATCGAGGGTACAACTTTCTCAGCTGGTAGAATGTCCATCTCAAATTAACTCGGTTCTACTGGAATGGATAGCCACTAGGGATTGTTTGGAAAGTTAAAATCACAGCATATTCCCCCTACTTAAGAGTAGTAGGTGTCTTGGGCTTTGAACGTACATATATACGATATATAGTAATGACAATGCACTGACAATACTTATAGACTATTTGTAGTTAACAAGAAAATGAAGCCAGAAATCCACAAGCTCCCACTCGTCTCGATAAAATCCTGCTGTAAGATGTCCATTATTATCTTAGCTGACCTGAACAACCCTCCGAGAACGTCAGCAGAAATGTGCGCAAACGCAAACTATTACATGACTACTCAATACTTTTCACCTCGAATGTAGTGAACATCAGACCTTGGGCTTGATTTGGGTTGGGATGGTTGGTGTTAGGTTATTTTAGGATCACCACTTACACCAGTATTATTCATTTAGTCGTCAATAAGGAGAGCGAGAGGGAAGAAAAACAAAGGAAAGAGCTATGTTTAGAAACATCCGTTTGCTTTCTGCTTCTTACCACAGAATCATTTCCAGCAAAACCCAACAGGGCATCAAGCGACCTCAAGGTTCGGTCAATAAAGAGACACTCGTCTCCAACATCCAATATCAATAGTGCGAGTAGAGGAAACTTGTGGTTTTTGAGCACTCGCATCTGGGTCTTGAAGTTCGGTTCTTTTTGTTCGGTTGAACTCCTTTGATGGTCGCAGAAGTCTTTGCTTTTTCTCGGCTTATAGCATTGGAGGTAGTGATTGTCTATTTGAAGGTATTTTATTTGCAAACTGTAGCTTTGTTTGTTTTTGGGGGGCATTTTTTTGGAATATCATCCCAGCCAGCATCTACTTTGGGCGCACTTTGTAACTTTTGGGCAGAAACCTGAAAAGTTTACTTCGGGCGCATATCGGGCGACGAACGATATTCCCCGAAAGTGTAAAAAGTTCCAAAGTGCCATCTCTCCATATGAAAAGATGGCTCATCACAGTTTCACCTATACAGTGTTAATGGCTATGGAAATATAGAGAAAGACTATGAAAATCTCTTTGTAACTATAGTTACAAAAACATTTTCATAATCTTCATAAAGTTCTTTATAAAGAATTCTTTATCAACAATGTTGCACAATGCCACGTTTTGCCCTGAGTTCTGCCCCGTGTTTTCATGACAGTCTGAAACATGACCCCGAGTTTTGCCCCGCGAAAATGTTGGCTTGGAACTGAAAAAATAGTATCAGAAAATGACTTTATACATGCACAATGGAACAACATGAAACGTCTCATTAAAAACTTGTCCTCCTACTTACACTGAAAGGGAAACTAATAGTGACACTTGGTAACAAACTGACGAGTGCCAGTCGCCCGATGCAATTCTGACCTCCAAAATGCAATATCCAACTTCGCGCGAGTGAGATAAAGCGCTAACTCTCATTGTTCTGATTGGTCAGTACGATATAGCCCTCAAAAAAGTCAAGGCGGTAGTTTCTAATCTTGTTGGCCCCTGGGTTTGGTTCTCTCATTGTATAGACGCATCTGTATAACAAACAGCATTGGGAAAGCAGCATCGAAATGTCTTCTAGATGGAATGTTGTACCAGTAAATCTAGTAGCTAAACTCAGTCAACTTGTTAGTAATCAAGGCCTATGAACATTGCAGGAGCGCTCCTTCTCCGAGTAACTTTAAAGGCCACCCTGGCAACAACTGGAATAACTAATCAGACTTTTTTATTTTATGAAAATCTACCTTTCCAATCGAGATGAAGAATTCCAATTGGTTATTTCAATCTTTGTTGGGGTGGCCTTTAAGGTCACCCCCCTCTCCCGGATGTTGAGGATTTGTCGCGGTCTTTCGAGACCATTATGGGTGATATATCACGAATCGTGACGTTTTTTGTCAACAACAGTGCAGCGGAGCAAGGAGCTATTCACAGTCAGTACCCAACCTGCTCCATTGTCTTGTGTGCTTTACTTGTTACACGCTTTTTGAATAATAAGTCGTGTACAAAAAAGAGCATACTTTGGTTTCGTAATCAATAGTGTGAACTTATTTTCCGGGAGATGGTATACAATCTTGACCGTGACAAGTATCACCGCCGGTATGTAATAATTCCTTAGATTTCGTGACTTAGGGCGTACCATGAGGATAGAATATCCAGCAGCATCGGCGCATATCGACGCTGACCTTTGGGCAAGTCGACATATGTAAGCGGCGTGCCTCATGAAGGATATTGCTACCCTAGGTAACAAGGCAAACAACAGAGTTCAGTGCTGCCATATACACTTGAAGAAACACCCACGTAGGTGCTTCCCATTACGTTGAGCATTTGGGGAACTCGGAAATTCTCCAGCAAACTATCGCCGGAAGGCCGATGAAGGAAATCGCAGTTTTTACTACTGAATGCAGTTTGATATCAGTGCATCATTCTGATCCCTGTAATTACAGACGTAAGACATGACTTCTAGTGGGGTGCGTTCTCCAACGAATCCCGCAGCATAGTACGTGTACAAAAATGTGCTGATGCATAACGATATGCAGGTGGCTGAACCTACAGAGGCCTACGCAGTCTCTCATGAAGGACACAAGTGCTACGTGGTCAACAAATATGACTAAAAATGCTCACGCTACACTATCGTAGTTATGCTAAGGCCCCATCGTCACTTGATTCATGTGCACGGATATCTATCCCGAGGTCTTGGTGGGTCTTTGGGGACGTTAATTCACTTTGCAGATTTATTCCGACACTCTATAAGATGGTTATGAGACTACACCAACACGCCTGTTAGATGTAACCAGAGGACTGTGGGCATTGAAGAAATGGCTCAGGCAAAAGGAATAATTCACCACTCCATATACAGTCCCCAAGATTGGGCAACTTTTCGGATATCGCAGATCACGTGCCGCTTGTAGTTGCTCTGTTTTGCCACTTTTGCAACTACTAACAGTTCATCGGAAACAATTACTGCGTCGTAAAAACAATTTTACTCACCACTCAAGGGTTGACGGCAGCAACTTCCTGGGAATGTCTCACTAACAAACAAATTTCGAACACGTTTTCATGGTTATCTCGAAATAGATAACACGTTATGCGGCACGATCAAGATTCATATCATTACTGGGACGAAAATCACTCGGGAGTCAAGAAGAAAAGAAAAATTACCAAATCAACGCAATGTAAGTTGAAAAGATGTCTCTCCGACGTTGATTAGCAATTAAACTTGAAAAAATGTCATTGGTAAAAACGCGTGCAAGTCGAAATAGCATATCCAACATTTCCAGCTGGAACACGCATTTACGTGAAACGTAAAATTTGCGTATATTAC